GGCCAAGGTCGCCGCCGCCAGGGGTCGGGCTGCGGGGTGGGGCCGCGGGCAGGGTGGGGGCGGGTGTTCTGCGGAGCTGCGTTTTCTCACGTTTGCAGCGGCGAAACTTCTCCGCGGGTTCTGGCGCTGGGGCCCCGGCTCGGCCACGACTGCCCGGGCAGCGGGTAGGGGAGACGAGCAGAGAACGTGCAGGCAAGTCCCCGGGGGCACGGATGGGGCCGTGGAGACTCATCTTTCTCTTCCCCTATTGCCTTATTCCGTGGCAGGCCTAGAAGGCTCCCGAGGGAGATACCTCCCTTCCCTCTGGGTCCAGCCCGGGCCCCTCGGGCTTCTGGAACTACGGACTCTGGGGTGACTTAAAGGAAACTGTCCCAAAATGCAGATTTGGTGTCAGGCTGGGAAAGCACTAGAGTCAGTCTGTCTGTCTGCCTCACGAACTTGTTCCTCACCTTGCCCGCTTCCCTCTTCTGCTGCAGCTCTGAAGACTCTGCTATTTCATCGAATTAAAAAAAAAAAAAAAAAAAAAAGAGGAAAGGGAAAAGAGAGGCCTTGTAGGAACGAAAAGTGTGAGAGGAGGCGCGGCAGGGCCACCTCACTGGGGGCGGACCCGTCTCCTCCCCAGGCCAGCCCTGACCCCCCAGCCTCTCGCTGTAAGGTTTCCTTGCTACTTGGTGAATCTTCCCCTTCTAACTCCTTCTCCCGCCACCCGCCCCGTCTTTCTTTAGGACTCCAGATGGGGATTTTCAGAGGAGAGTAACCCGCAGAGAAGGGGAGGGGACAGGCATTCTACCGGGACGCCAGCGGTGACACCCCCGAGGCATCTCGGTCCACTGAGTGGTGGTTGCACTTGGGCTGAAGTTCCAAAGCTGTACTCCTGTTTTCTTAATATATCTATAAGTCAATCTCCTTTTTCCTCCCTTCTGGAGCTTCATCATTTTTCTCTGTTTGGTGGCAAAGCTTTCCGAAACAGTAAAGCCAAAGATCTTGAAAGAATCGAAGTGTTTGTTTTCTATTTCAGTTGCATTCAGCTGACATTTATTGGGTAATTAAGACACCGAAAGGCAGTGATGAACAAAATGTCTCCTCTGTCTTCAGGGAGCTTACCATCTGATGGAGGACACAGGCGGTACACCAGGGCCTAGGACACAATGCAGATTGCTAAAATAGAGATCCAGCATGCTTTGAGAAGCCAGAGGAAGCTTTTAAAAAGCCTTCTCATTGCTTCATATATTAGCCTTCATCATTGTGTGCCACTTGAACGCAGGTGACTTTTGCCATAGCTTGCAGTCTAGACTCTGTGGCCAGCCTGGTGTGTGACATCTACTAGGTGCTAAGTAAACGTTTCTTGAATGAATGAGTGAGTGACTGCAAGCGCATGAATTGTTTGCCCCTATCCAAATGGAAAAGAAGAGAGCAGTGTGGTGGTGCCTCAAGCTGGTTTGAGCTGGTTCATGAGGGTTTCCCTTGGGTGTCGCCTTTGGACCTAAGTATCCTTCGCCCTCTTTGTAAGCCCCGCTTTTGACAAAGTGCCTAAGGCACTCCTACTGATGGGAGCCTCGCTCACTTCACAGATGGGTAGTCACCTAGGTATGGATTGGGGAACCGCCTGCCCTTTGGTGGAGAGTTTGCCGTGCTTCTTTTCCCTTGTCGTTGGTGCTTGCTTCTCTCTTCTGTATAAGGAAGTAGGGCCTGCAAATCCCATCGTGTCATCGTAGTGTGCTGAACTGTAATTCAGCTCGGTGTTTTCCCCCGAGGTTAAAATGAATCCTGGAGACATGCAGATTTTGGTTGGTGCCTACTTATGGAGAGATTCTGCAAAAATGGGAAGGGAGAATCATCAGCCCTATCAGCCAGCCAAGCCCCTCCGAGCAGTCCTCCTGCTGGCTTGCCTGGTATTTGCTGAAAGTGCTGGATCACTAGGGAGCCGGGAGCGGCAGGGCCACGATCTCCGATCTCCGGATGTGCATCGAGCTGGCGCTTCACTGACCTCCGGTCTTCTTCATGGGGCAGGGGGGCAGATGGGTGATGCCCCTGTTAAAAGGCTGGAACGCCTCAAATTAGATTTTGCTGTGGCCCCAGTGCAGTAAATATCTCTTCTGTTTCCCTGAAACTGTAGTAAGTAGTTATTTTGGCCGAGATAGTCGTGGAGCTTGGAAAAGATGATCTGGGTGCTGGGGCGTTGCACTGCTCGGCCTCTTCCCTCTTCCCACCGCTGCCTTACTTTCAGTTTTCCACGTGTCTCAGTGAGCTGGAGAGGACTCCGGCAATCCAATCTGTTAGGCTTTGGAAAGGAAGGAAGCAGAGCAAATATTATAGTGTGACAGTCTATGGCAAGAGCAGAATCCTAGCCCTGCCTGATATAAGCCCATCATTGAGCCAGGGAATTGGCCAGGGCAGGGAGATAGGGCGGCTGGGGGGCGGGAGGGATGGGGTCCCTTGCTTCCCGTTCTGCACAGGCCTGTGGTTGCTGTAGTGGGACAGTAATTGGAAGGCCCCGTTGACCTTTACTCCGAACCTCGGGCTGCCTTTCTGCCCGGCCAGCTGAGATAAAGAGGGAGGTCCCCTTCTCCCTGAAAAACACTGGGGTTAAAGTGCAAAGGCAAGGGCTCGCCCTCCCATCAGCTAGGACTCCCTTTTGGCCATCCATTTGCGGAGTGGATCTCTGCTGCTCTGATTCTCCCACGGGCCAAGCAGGAGGTGGCTCCAGAGACCCTTCCTTGGCATCTGATCGCAGGCCTGGTTCTGTTAACTTTCAGGGTGGCCTGGCCGACATGGAGTCGGTGGATCTCTTGGACTGTTTTAACCTTTTGGAGAATTTTCGAGATGAGAAATATGATGGTTCTTGGAGTAGATGGAAGAGTAAGGGCAGCTTATGCCTTTTCTTGTGAGGGATTCCAGCATCACTGCCTTCCCAGTGGGATTTACTTATTGATATTTGAGGGGTGGAGACGGCCTGGCAGCTGCCTGCCCTGTTTTACCTAGCGGTGGGGGTCATGTACCACTTGTTAGGCACTACACATGCACACATCTTAACAACAACAGTTACCCAGTGCTTAGTCGTTGCCAGACCTCCTCTTAAGCACTTTTCACACATTATTTTGTTTAATCCACACAGCAGCCTTTGAAGTAGGTACAGCGATTCTCTCCATTTTGCAAATGAGGAAATAGGCCCTGAAGAGTTTAGGAGAGTCTGTCTGACTCTAAAACCCATGCTCTTTCACTTCACTCCAGCACAGCGGTGGGTCACTGAAATCAGCACGCCCTCTTCAATGGTCACGTTCTTGCAAGAGTTTCGTCAGATGCTCTCAGACTGATCCTTGTCGCCTGCACGTGCTCCGTGCCACACCTGGCCCCTCCTCCGTCCCTGCATCCAGAGACGGGAGCACAGTGCCTTTAGACAGGCAGGCTTAGGCCCTTTAGACTTTCCCCCAGCACTTTGCAAGAGGCTAGTCCGTAGGAGAAATAAGGATGCTTTCTTTTCATTCTCCTACTGCCCAGGTTTTAGTGGGTGAGAAGGTCCAACTTGTAAATGAAGTTCAAGCTCCTGTGCTGCCACCAGTAAGAAGGCCTACAGTGAAACTGAATCACGGAGCCTAGTAACTGGATTCCGAAAGTGGGAGATCTCAGTTTTTATAGGCTATTTATAACCCCTGGGGCTGGTCCCTGTGTTGGTGAACTCTCTGGGGGGAGGTGGTCTCAGGAGCCTTGAGTCAGGGGCAGGCCTTTGTTTCCCACCAGCTCTAACAACCACATTTTCTCTGAACATAGATGAGGCTGCTGTTCAGAGAGGTCACGAGCGTTTAAAACATTTTGCTGTTTTGGGCACCTTTGTTGGAGTGGTATCAGTAGTCAGTCGTTCCTGCCTTTTCCCCAGTATTTTGTTCCCTTAAAAAATTCCTCGAGTGTCTCTTGCCCTCCATTCAGAGTTCTTGGGTCCCGGGGAGGTCGGGCACCTTCTCTTACCCTCCCCATTCCTGTGGATGTCTGCATTCCTCAGCCTGCTCTTCCGCTGGGAATGTGTTCTCAGTACATTCTCTTCTCTCTCACATTATTCTCCAGCCTCAGACTATTTGGAATGTGCTCTTATGACAGCTTCAGAATGCAATGATGTTATAACGGTAGGAAATAGATGTTCCCACATTTTGGAAGTTAGAGTCTTTGGCCCAGTCTCAGAGCTGTGTTCTGAAATAGCCACGCTTGCGTTTTGTTGTTGTCATTCTTGTGTTTTTACTGGGCCCTGGGCATTCGTGGGCCCTCCGCAGTGCACCCTTATGTAGGTGGGAGATGGAAACATAGGCGAACTCTCTGTTCGCATGGCCCATACGTTTTCTAACCTCCACACCCCAGTTCCTGTCTGCTTATTACAGTCCTCTCTGAGACCTCTGATGTCATTTCCCGATTAACTTTCTCCTGTAGAAATTTAGCAATTTCCCGTTGGTATCCCTCTCACTTACCACTGATGCTACTGTCCCCAGCTTCTACCCTCGAGGATGACAAGATAGCAGATGTATTCACTGCATCCCTGCCCGCCCCCTATGTTAAGAAACGCCTTCCTGACGTTTTTCTGGAGCAAAATCCCTGAAATTCCCTTTCCTACCAACGCCAAGTAACATGAAAGTAAAATATCCAAAATTAAAAATGGATTCATTTGTTTTGAGTTTTGGACTGCTGGAGATTATAGTGGATTATTTCATCCTGGGGCCAATACCATTTAAGGCTTTATCTCTGTTACCACTTTCTTTCGTTTGTATTTACCTCAGAAGTATCAGGACGATCAGGCAGATGAATCTCCCTTATTTCACTCTATTTTTTCCTGTATCTTCAAGCCACATTAGAGATCTTACAAATAAGACGTCCAGTACAGTAAGCCAGAGCTTTCATGACTTAATAGCTCTTTAGCTTTTCTTTAAAAAAACAAACAAACCTATTTATCCATCTTTTCATTCATCTATCTATACATTTAACTTAAAGACGTCAGTCCCATCTCCCAAGTTTCAAGAAGGAAAATTCCACTGGGGGCGTCTTTGTCGGGAGCCCAGCTTCTGGGCGTGCTGTGTTGCAGGCTCTGTGACAGCAGAGGGAA